TTATGAAATTCAGAAAATGATTTCATTGTTTCATCGTCTTACTCCAAGAGCACATTGAAACCAATAACTCCCACTTGCTTAATGCAAGCCTGAGATCCTCCTAAGACCCAAAAAAGTAACATGCCTCTTGAACACAAGTTCAGGCAAACTCTTAGTAAATGGATCTACAAGATCCACCTCTATGCCTATCCTAATTGAGTAAAACTCATAGCTCGAGGTTGATTTTCTTGAGTCAATATCCACTTGAAATAACTGAATTTGTGAAAACTCAGCTTTTCAAGACTCCCACTAGAATATACCAACATATAATCTCTTTCTCCAAAGATACTTGAGCACATGCTTAACAATAATGGTACTGTCTCACTACTCCCACTGTGTGACATATGTCTGGTTTAACGCCCAACATGATATGTATGAGTCTACCTTTGCCAAAGCATAAGATATCCTGCTCATGCATTCTTCCTTCTTAGGAGTCTTTGGTTACTCCTTAGAAATATGACTTCCACATCTAAGAATTTATAATTCTTCTCTTAGAATTATCATGTTGAATTTTGGCAAGAGTTTTGTCAATGTAAGTAGTCTTGAAGTGATGCCAACAACTTATTCTTCCGGTCTCATAAGAGTTTTAAACCAAGAATATAATTGGCTTCTCCAGTACTTCCATACCAAAACACCAACTTAGCCAACTCTTTATGCTTGATATTACCTCCATGTTGTTTCCAATAAGGAGCATATCATCTACATAAAGTACCAGAAAAGCTACTGTCTTTCGTTGGATCCTTTACATACAAATACACATCATTCATCAAGTTTCTCTCAAAATCAAAATTTTGATAACCTAATCAAAATTGATGTTCCAAGACCTGGATGCTTGCTTAATTCTATGAAATAGACTTTCATAACTTGCATACCATGTGTTCCTACCCATTTGCTATAAACCCTTTTGGTTGTTATAAATAGATATCCTAACATCCAACTCCCAAAATGAAATCTCATAATTGAGACTTATAGCAACTAAGAGAATCTGGATAGACTCAAGCATGGCGTCTGGCAAAAATTGCCTCCAAGCTAACTTTGAAGGTTTTCACCTTCTTGTCCATCCTCTCTTTGCCTTTTATGTCCACATGCACCTTGTGGGTTTTACCCCTCTTGGTGTCTTTACTAGGACCGAACGGAATTGAAATACAAGTATTTCATCTCATTATTCATAGCTTGAGTAACACTTGATCAACAACATCTTCTAGTGCATTATCGTAACTAGTAGGATCAATGTCACTCAACAAGAGACAACTTGAGAGTTAACAAGGTTCTCTTCCACTACGAATATACTGCACTAGACTTTATGTATTTATATGTAAAACAAAGAGTGGATCAAATGGTGGATCTTCAATTTCTTGAGGATCCACTTATTCTTGATATTGTTCATCCACATGTGATACTAATATTTCTACTAGTTTCACTTATATATTATCATGTTGAATTTCCAATTACGATTCTCTTGTTTATTCACCTGGAGATATATCTATCCCCTATTTAATAATCAAGGGAACAGTGGATGAAGCTTCTAGAGATTCTGGAAATAAATCTCATCCAGACTAACCTTATTTAAGAGCTTATAATTTCTCATATAGTCTTCCTTTAAGAAAATCATGTGAGTGCTCACTTATATTATCTTGTCCTTAAGACTAAATAAGAAATCATCCCTAGTTCTCTTAGGGTAGCTAAAAGATATGCACTCTTCCATACAAGATTCCATCTTATTTGACTGTTGTTGTAGGACGTGCGTCGTAGCACCCTAAATCCGAATATGGTTTGATCTGGGCTTGCACCCTTTCCATAATTCTTTAGATGTCTTTACAACAAACTTTGACAGAACCAAGTTAAGAAGGTACATTTCCTTCTCTTAGGCATCTCCCTTGAACAACATTGTCAAAGATGAATAACTGAACATGATCTTCACCAAGTCTAAAATGTTTGATTTTTGCATACTGCAACTTCATTCAACTAACGCGTTCTTAGAATTGAAAGTTACGAAAAACTCTCTCTTAAATCAGGTAAGACCTGAACTTACCAGACAGGTAGCCAAACACTTTCGTAGACCAAAGTGTTTTGATTGAACACCTACATGCTTTTCTGCCTCAGACTTAAACCTCTTGGAAATTTTCAAAAGCTTTAGACTTATGGCGCACTTGGTTCATCTGTCCAAATTCAGAGTAAACATTCATATAATGAAGTACTCATTATCTCTTCTGGTCTGAACGCTAATTGGTCTACATACATTAGTATGTACCAGTTCCAGTTGAATAGTTGCGCAAATATTTTTGGCCCCCTGTAGGATTGCTTGACCATTTTACCTTTCAAAATAGGACTAACAAGTAGCTTTTAGTTAAAAGATTCTTGAACTTTCAGTTCCTCTTTTAACTAAAACATGTTTCCTACTTGAGGTAATGTGACCCAATCACAAAGGCCAAAGTTATGTTTCATTTGAAACTTTTATTTCTTTGGTGAAAATCCTTGTTCATCATCCTTTCCATTCAACATAATAAATTAAATGAGATATATAACTCAAGTAATAAAGACAATTTAATATACCGGAAAAAGAAGATGAACTTCTTATTGAAACTGATGAATTAAATTGTACTATTAAACCATGTTTCCACAAAACAACTAACAGAAATAAAATTTCTCTTCAAATCCGGAATAATTAAACAATCATCCAAAACTAAAGTCATAAATTATCAAAAGATAAAATAACTTGTTCTACTGCTAATGCAGACACAAGCCCACTGCATTTAAAGTCCTTTAAAATGTCTTGATTGTAAAAAATGTCTTTTAAAAAAGTCTTTAAAGTCCACCCAATTCTAAATAGTCTTTTAAAATCTATAAGATTTTTTATCTCAATTTTTTTTTTCAAAATCCTAATCCAATACACCATTTTTAAATCCAGCGAACTGGAAGTCTCTTCAAGACTCTTTATTAAATTTATTTTCCAACATGGCACATGCTAGACAAATTTATTGGTCGAATCTCTTTATTAGCTATCAATACAACAGGGTCAGTTCATGAACCAAGTGATGCATTTTCACACACCCTTCTCCAACCTTCAACAATAAACAAGAATGTATGACTTAATTTTTGGCTAAACCAGGTGGTGGCTGTGGTTGTGATAACACCCTTGAGATTTGCAACATCAAAATTCTCCTCAACTCTCCCAGCTTAAGTTCCTATGAAGTATTGTTCCTCACTAATGGCCAATCGTTCTTACCATATCCTTTATAGAGGTTGCCTTGTTAGACTATGAGCTTTTTGTTAGAAACCTATAGTGTAGCTTTTGTTTTGTGTTTAATCCAAGCAACGATGATTAATGTTGGAAGGGGTAGTATATGTATGTGTTTAGCTAAGCTATTGCGGCAATTTAAGTGGAGTAATTATTTTGCTTTTTATTGCGGTACCTACTTATGCCTCTTGTTATTCCCAAAAGGAATGAAGTCATATTGGAGTGTTCTGCTGCATAATTTTTATGTTTAGCTTCTTCCTTCTTCCGCTCATAGTTTAACATGCACCTTACAAGGAAGAGGAACTAGTTTCTTTTGTTTGAAAACTTGAGCAGGTCTAGCATCATTTGTGGGGAGCTGGATCAAACTTCTGAAAGGTGACACACATATATGGTAGGGAGCTATTATGTTTGGTCCCAGCCCATATATGATAGGAGATCTACTTCCAGGTATTGTGTCTTTGTTGAAGGCAACTTGATTTTCTGGAAAAGTAAGAAACAAAATGTAGTTTCCAGATCAAGTGCTGAAGCAGAATACCGCTTCATGGCGACTACTACTTGCGAGCTCATCTGGCTTAAACATTTTCTCAGAGAGCTTAAGTTTGGAGACACTGGACAGAAAACTCTCATTTGTGATAATCAAGCAGCTCTGCACATTTCATCAAATCCAGTGTTTCATGAAAGAACTAAGCATATAGAAATAGATTGTCACTTTGTTGGAGAAAAGGTTCTTGCTGGTAACATTAAAACTAGTTTTGTACCCTCTAATGAGCAATTAACATATATATTTACAAAATCTTTAAGGGGTCCTCGAATAGAGTTATATGTAACAAGCTTGGTGCATATGATCTATACACTCCAGCTTAAGGGAAAGTGTTAGAAAGAATATATCTTTTGTATATATGTAATTATTTATTTCCTTTATTTCATTAGGATTTGTACTAGGTCCGGGCTTAGCCCATTAGTATGTCTATATATTGTACATACTACCTCAATTCAATACACACAGTTTTATTTCAATTTCAATGTTCCACTCTCTCTCTTATTGTTATTTAACACCCTTTACTCACTTCCCTCCACTACAAGACAAAGACGGCACAATCAATAACTATTAAACCAAAAAACAACTCTTATAAGGAAATTCCGTAAGTCTATGGTCCCTTACTGATATCTCAACCACTTTAGCAAAGCCAAGACTCGACGCTGTCATACATAAGCAAAGGTTGATGAATATAATCGATGATGGAGAAGCTCACAGTGTCACTGCTAGAGAAGGGAAGAATCCAGATGTAAATGCCTCAGCCTTTATTACGGAGGAGCCCACGTGATTATTAGTTATTATTGTTATTTTCAGTTACTATTGATCTGTAATTCAATACAGTAGTATATATATAGACTAACGTAGAATAGTTAGAACTGTAAGATACAATTTACTTTTCTCAGTTTTCTAAATGGCATTAAGCAATTCCTTCAGTTTTATCTTCCTTTCAGAGGTTTTTCAATTGTAATATGGTATCAGATTACACTTTTCTTCCGCTTCTTCTTCTTCTTCTTCTTCATTGATTGCCTTTCTTTCTTGTTTTCTGTAATGGCGAATTAAATACCTGAATATCTTACCAATCCTGGTCACCCTTTCTTCCTTCACTCAAACGAAAACCCTGCTCTTGTTCTTGTTACACCTCCGTTAGATGAAAAGAACTACCATACATGGGCAAGATCCATGAGCATGGCGATATTATCCAAGAACAAGCTTGGTTTTATCGATGGCACCATTGCTCCACCAGATATCACAGATCCTCTGTTTCTTCCATGGCAACGTTGCAATACCATGGTCCTTTCCTGGCTGCACAGATCGATCAACAGCTCCATCGAGAAATCCATTCTTTGGATGGATCGAGCTTCGGAGGTTTGGATTGATCTCAAGAACCGTTTTAGTCACTTTGACATTTTTCGTCTTTCTGATATTCAAGAAGACATCTACAAACTTCAGCAAGGTGAGCTTAATGTAACCAACTACTTCACTGAACTAAAGATTCTTTGGGATGAATATGATAACTTGCGTCCTTTTCCGAAATGCAATTGTGCAATTCCATGCAACTGTGGTCTTCTTGAATTGATAAGAACACACAGAAACCAAGATCAAACTATCAGATTCTTGAAGGGACTGAATGAGCAATATGCTCATGTCAGATCCCAGATCATGATGATTGATCCACTACCACATGTTAGCAAAGCCTTCTCCTTGGTTGTACAAAAAAAAGGACAATTTCAACCGATTATACTAGGTGAGTCTTCTCTGACATCACATACCTTCTTTAATGCATCACATGCCAGGAAACCTTTTATTCCTGAGAAAGGAAAATCGCGTCCTACTGCACAAGGATATGCACCAACTAATAGAAGTCCAAAGATCTGCACACATTGTGGAAAAATGCACCACACCATTGATACGTGCTATCAATTGCACGGTTTTCCCCCTGGTTACAAGACTGATGCAAGACCAAGAAATGCCGTGAATCTTGTTCAACAAGATGTTAATTCAGATAATTCAGTTTCTGTCCCTGATGATGACATGAAACTTGGGATTTCTTTATCCCAAAATCAGTACCAAAGACTCATGTCTCTCCTCCAAACTACTCAGCTTCAGTCTGAACCTGCAGAAGAGCCATTTCATTCGACTCGCAGTGTCACTACCTCAGCACTGAATTCCATGACTTCACCAGATGTCAATCATCTTCCAGGTACCAATCATATTCGTTGGATACTTGATACAGGAGCCACGGATCACATATGATCCACACTTACAAATTTTGGATCATTATGTAAAATCTCTCCCATTTCGATTATGATGCCCAATGGTCTTCGTGTCACTGCTTCACTCTCAGGAACAGTCATCCTATCAGATTCTCTAAAACTCATAGATGTTTTATATGTTCCTGACTTCAAAGTTAATTTGGTGTCCATTTCCAAGCTTACTGAAAATTCTGCTTGTTGTCTAACTTTTTCAAAGTCTTCATGCCTGATACAGCAGGTCAGTACAAGGAAGATGATTGGTACAGCTAATTTGGAAGGAAACTTGTACGTGCTTCATGCTAAGCCTACCTCTCAGTGCTTACTTGACACCAAGCACCATTCTCAGACCTTACAACCTTCTACTGTTTTGAATAAATGCTCAGCATTTTCAGTCAACAAAATAACTGAAGCAAAGCTGTGGCATCTTCGTTTAGGCCATTTGTCTCATAAGTCCTTAAGACAAATGTCTCTAGTTTTTCCCTTTATTACTTGTGCTGATGTAAAACCGTGTAATACTTGTCATATTTCTAAACAAAGAAGACTACCTTTTGTATCCAGTGATACTAAAACTGAGAAGATATTTGATTTACTTCATGTTGATATATGGGGGCCCTATGGCATCCCTTCTGTACATGGGCATCGTTTCTTTCTCACCCTTGTAGATGATTTTTCCAGATTTCTTTGGGTTATCTTGCTAAAGTCTAAGGCAGATGCACGACCACAATTGCAAAATTTTATTTTGCATATAGAAACTCAATTTGAAACCAATCTGAAAGTACTTCGCAGTGACAATGGGAGTGAGTTTATTATACCAGAATTTTATCAGAAAAATGGAATAATACATCAGAGGAGTTGTGTAGAAACACCTTAACAAAATGGCAAAGTTGAACGTAAACATCGGCATCTTCTAAATGTGGCTCGATCTCTGTATTTTCATTCTCACCTACCATCGAATTTATGGAGTTTTGCTATAATTCATGCAGCTCATTTGATAAATCGACTTCCTACTCCTCTATTGGGTAACAGTTCACCATATTTGACTTTCTACAACAAACTTCCTTCACTTCTTCACCTACGGATATTTGGTTGCCTTAGTTATGCTAGCACCATTACTGCTCACCGAGGAAAATTTTCACCTAGAGCCAGAAAATGTGCATTTCTTGGCTATCAACATGGGATGAAAGGATATGTCCTTTATGATCTCTCTTCTCATGAGATTTTTATATCTCGCCATGTTGTTTTCTACGAAGATCAATTTCCTTTTCTAAAGGATAATTTGGATGCCAGTGCCACTGCCAACATACTACCTGAATTTCCCATTTATGATAGTCCAATAATTGCACCTGCTGCTATCATTCCTACTGCTCCACTAATGGACCCTCAATGCAATCCATCCCCACCAGGTGTAAGACGTTCCACTCGCATCAGGTCTCATCCACAATACTTACATGATTTTCACTGTTCTTTAAATTTGACCTCTACACCACAATTGAATACAAATACATTGCCTTATGTTCGTTTTCCACTATCCGATGTTTTATCCTATGAATCTTGTTCCCCTACTTTCACCCGTTTCTGTTGTAATTCTATAACACAGATTGAACCTAGAACCTACCTCCAAGCATCCAAACATGACTGCTGGAAACAAGTTATGCAGGCAGAAATATCAGCATTATAACAAAACCATACATGGCTTCTTGTTGATTAACCAGTTGACAAACACATCGTAGGATGCAAGTGGATGTTTAAAATCAAACTGAAAGCAGATGGCAACATCGAGCGTTATGAAGCTCGCTTGGTTGCTAAAGATTACACTCAGATGGAAGGAGTGGATTACCTTGATACGTTTTCTCCGGTTGCTAAGATGACAACCGTTCGAGTTCTTCTCACCATTGCTGCTTCCAAGGGCTGGCATCTCTTGCAGCTGGATGTTAACAACGCATTCTTGCATGGAGACCTCAATGAAGAGGTTTATATGGCTTTACCTGATGGTTTTCCTACTTCTCCATCTCCCAAAGTATGCAAGTTGCAGAAATCACTTTACGGCCTTAAACAAGCAAGCCGACAGTGGTACTCCAAACTGTCTTCTGCCTTGATTTCTCTGGGATACAAACAATCGGTTGCTGATCACTCTCTTTACATAAAGCAATCACCATCTTCATTCACTGCCCTCTTAATTTATGTAGATGATATCGTATTATCAGGGAATGACTTGAACGAAATAAACCATGTCAAGGCTTCACTGGATTCCATGTTCAAGATAAAGGACTTAGGTGATCTTCGCTTCTTTCTTGGTTTAGAAGTAGCTCGTTCCCAATCTGGCATTACTGTCAACCAACGCAAATATGCCATTGAGCTTCTAACCGATAGTGAAATGCTTGCCTGCAAACCCGCATCTACTCCCATGGAGCTTACCATAAACTCCACCGTGGTACTGATAAAGAAGACATGCTCCCAGATGCTCATGTTTATCGACGATTAATAGGACGGTTATTGTATCTCACGACAACGAGACCAGACCTGTCCTTTGCTGTGAACCAACTCAGTCAGTTTGTCTCTGCTCCTACTACTTCTCATATGACTGCAGCTCATCGTGTATTGCGTTACTTGAAGTCTTCCCCAGCAAAAAGGATTGTTCTTCCCTTCTTCTAACTCCTTACACTTGTCTGGTTTCACAGATAGTGACTGGGCATGTTGCCCAGATACAAGGCGTTCTGTTACAGGAATGTGTACTTTTCTGGGATCTTCCTTAGTCTCATGGCGTTCAAAGAAGCAGAACACGGTCTCTCGCTCCTCAGCCGAAGCTGAATACCGTGCTCTAGCATCCATGTCCTGTGAGATCACTTGGCTTCGTTTCCTTCTACACGACTTCTGCATACCCATCACCAAACCTGCTTCTATATTTTGTGATAACCTTTCAGCTATATACTTAGCAAAGAATCCTGCATTCCATGAAAGGTCCAAACACATAGAAATCAACTGTCACATCACCAGAGAGCGCATCAATGATGGCACACTTCATCTACTGCCTGTTCCCTCCTCTGTCCAGATAGCAGACATTTTCACAAAGCCTCTCCACCCTCGTCCCTTCCAGCATCTCATTTGCAAGCTTGGCCTACGCGACATTCTTAGTCCAGCTTGTGGGGGGGGGGGGGGGTGTTGAATATAATCGATGATGGAGAAGCTCACAGTGTCACTGCTAGAGAAGGGAAGAATCCAGATGTAACTGCCTCAGCCTTTATTACGGAGGAGCCCACGTGATTATTAGTTTTTATTGTTATTTTCATTTACTATTGATTTGTAATTCAACACAGTAGTATATATATAGACTAACGTAGAATAGTTAAAACTGTAAGATACAATTTACTTTTCTCAGTTTTCTGAATGGCATTAAGCAATTCCTTCAGTTTTATCTTCCTTTAAGAGGTTTTTCAATTGTAATAAAGGTCTTCATCCTCATGGAAGATGGGGAGTGATATGCTTCTTGCCTTATAGATTCTATTTCATATAAATAGTAACTTGAGCGTTGTAGTGTCCACATATAAATCACTCTTTTACCGGAGCTCAAGAAAGAATCACCAGCACCCACCATCTCATATCTGTCTACGGAGATTTAAGCACAACCTTTTGTTATTACCAAATACATTTGCCTGAACAAGGGCCAAAATATAGGAGGTCTACATCATTTCTACCCTTATGATTGCAGCATCCTAGCAAAGCAATCCAAATAAACATCCTTCTACAATTTGTGATACATCTAAATTAGCATATTGGCATGATTCCATGACCACAAAGCGCGTACATAAAATATGGCAGGAAGCCTCTTTCTGTCAATCACATAAACATGGTATAATAATGAAGTCATTAAATGTTCTTAATAAAAAAAAGAAAAAAGAAGAAGAAAAAAAGTCATTTTAGTTATACTAATCCCTCTCTCCATTATGTTAGACCCAATGGTACTTAAAAAACGGGTGGAATTGAGAAATTGTACCTCTTTTAGAACTTTTAATTTAAAAATATTTTCTATTTTTGCTAAAGGAAATTTCCATATAGTATCCTCCATCCATAAGCATAGGTGCCTATATATATACCCCAAACCACTAGACAAAGTAACCATCCCGTCCTAGACTTTTGTCTATAATTTCAATCAAGTATGCATACTTGACAGTGTAGCTTTCATTATATATTCTAACAAAACCAATACTACCTATACATCCTAAAAATAGCTAAATTTATTAGAATTTTGAGTATTACCTGAACTTCAAAATGCAAGAAAACTTCATCTACCCACTGGGAATCCCAACTTGTGCCTTTTTGTTAAAGAAGCACGTTTACCATAAAATCAAGATCAAGTAAACTATTTCTTCCTGTCATAGTAGGAAGCCCACGATACTTCTTTTTCTTAAAAAAAAAAAAAAAAAAAAAACCGTTTCATTTATTCCTTTTCTTTAAGTAAACATTCATTCGAACCTTCCACTCTGGTTTGGATTCAATTTTCAATTATTTTATTTGGTAATTAATATGTAATCTCATTTTCAATCTTCTCTTGCATGTGTCTTCCCCTAATTTAAAAAATAATAAAAAATTACAAACATAAAAATTATATTGAACATTTTAAAATCAAGTTTTACATTAGGCATTCGTCATGTATATGTTAGATAAAACTAATCTCGAATTGTTCATACTTTTGCAAGAAGCCAAGCTGTCACCCGAAAAAGAATAAGCGTGAAAGGACTAGGAAGTTCCAACATTTACAAGCATGTGCTCCATATATTAATGGATTAGAGTCTACCTAAAGGAGTGGAAGGTTCTTTCCCTCGACGCAAATAACAAATAAACCAATTTGATTCCAATTCATAATTAACTAAATTAAATGATGATAGTTCAGTTAGTATATGGAAGCTGAGTAGGTTGGGATGAGAGCGTATATTCGATCATCTCCGATATCATCTTTGAGAGGGATTTAAAGTTTTAATACTGGATCTATCCCGAATCGAATTA